TAAAGTTTGCTCAAGGCATTTTAGAGAGTATGAATTTATCAAGACGCTCAGCGCTAGGAGAGATCTGCAATCGAATGCCGTTCTATTGCTGTTTCCTTGGACTCGAACAGGACCTGACCAATCGATGAAATTGATAATCGATGGCAATCGATAACAATTGATGACAATCGATGACAATCGATATCAAGTAATCGATTGATATTGATAATTGATGGACAATCGATCACGAAAATTTTTGTGATTATCAATTACCATCGATTATCAATATCAATCGATAATCAATGGCAATCAATAACAATCGATGACAATCGATATCAATTAATCAATTGATATTGATAATCGATGGACAACCGATGACGAAAATTTTTGTGATTATTCATTATCATCGATTATCAATATCAATCAATGGGAATCGCTCTACAGTTCGGGAGTATGCCAGTTTCGGAAGAAGCGAAAACAATGGTCTACGTCACCAACCATAACATGATCACCATGGCGATGACCATTTTCAAAACATACAAAATGGCGGACAAGGGAGAGGAAAGAGTATTGACAGAAATTCTCGTTTATTCTTGTTTCATCGAGACTTTTACTTGTCTTCTCCTTACTATGAATTGGGAAGTACCTTGAGGACAAAGAGTAACCATTCTTGCGCTATAGTTCTTCGCTTATTCCGCGCTTTGTAGGCACTTCGTACTCACTGCGTATGTAATCACTACATCGAAAATAGGTAAGCACGCTAACAAGTTTGTGCCTATTTCTTTCATTATTTTTTTCTATTATAAGAAAAAAGAATGCTTTGGAAACAACTAAAAAAGTGAGTTGTTCTATAATTTATTTCCTTATGTTTGCAAAGAGTAAGTTTTACTGTAATTTTTCCTGTTGCTTCTGTTTCTCTCTCGAGGAGTGAGCGACTTGCCGGAGAAGACGGCTGTAATTCAGGTTATTGTTTTGGTGCAAGCGAGTCATTTGTGAGTAAAATATCTGTTTTTTTTCGAATATGATGTTCTGTTGGTGTATGTCCTGAATCGGTTCCGTCCAGGTATACAACAGGTTTACAAGGGATTTCTGAGGGTACTGTGTCCGTGTTTTCTTCTTGAAAACCCACAAAGTGAAAATCTTGCTTATCATCCCGATCATTTTTTCTTTGTCCTGCTTCAAAAAAACCTACTGCTTTCAATTATTCCACTGTCTGAAGTTCACTGATTATTTGCTCAAGCTTAACAAATGCAAGAGACTCTTTAGAAGTTAATATACATAATGGAAAACTAAGAATGCTGTTGTTTTTGGATATCTTGATTAAAATGGGATACTATAGTCTTGTAGTCCACCGGATTTGACCAGAGGTCAGATATCAACAGGGTTATGGGTTGTTATAAAATATCCTATTATATGGGATTTGATGTATATCCGAATAATACTAAATTATTGTTTTTAACTCTGGGGTTGCCTTCAAACCAAAGGCATTGTAACTTTGAGGAGCACTTTTCCCCAAGTCTTCTCTGTGGGGACCCTCAAACAATTATATTAGGCAAGGTTTGGCCCAAAATAATAATGATTGCTGCACTTGGCTTGGACACAACATAAGTTTTCCAAAGTTCTTTTACATAGTTCTCCATGGTTCTATTGAACAGCACTTTCAAGAAAACAAAGCTCACACATCAGAGTAAAGATACAATTATAAAAGTTATTAATTTTGTTGTTACATTTTGTTTTTTGTAAATAAACATTTTATTTCTGATCCTGACATAAACTACGAGCAAGGGAGCTATGCAAGTCACGCAGACCATCAGCAAAAATAAAGTAAAAACAAGTAAAAACTGCCAATTTTACAGATTATGGTTAAGCATTCTTTTTACTGATTAGGGTTTAGGTTGGGGTTAGGGTTATGATTAAGTGCTGTTTAGGGTTAAACACTTATTTATCATGGTTAGCTTTCAGTTAATTCTTTTGGTATTACTGTTTTTGATTTTTATGTATTGTTTTCAATGAGTCGTATCTGACCTGCATGACTCGCTGCCATGGCTCGCTGGCTCGCATATTATACACAGTCTTATATCTCAAAATCTTGTTTTTTTAACAACTTCTTGGACATGAAAACCAAAGCTTAATTGATATAATGAAGACAGT